AGGTGGAGGTGGAGTACTGGTTTGGGCTGGTATCATCAAAGATGAGCTTGTGGGGCCTTTTCGGGTTGAGGATGGAGTCAAGCTCAACTCCCAGTCCTACTGCCAGTTCCTGAAGACACCTTCTTCAAGCAGTGGTACAGGAAGAAGTCTGCATCCTTCAAGAAAAACATGATTTTCATGCAGGACAATGCTCCATCACACGCGTCCAAGTACTCCACAGCGTGGCTGGCAAGAAAGGGTATAAAAGAAGAAAATCTAATGACATGGCCTCCTTGTTCACCTGATCTGAACCCCATTGAGAACCTGTGGTCCATCATCAAATGTGAGATTTACAAGGAGGGAAAACAGTACACCTCTCTGAACAGTGTCTGGGAGGCTGTGGTTGCTGCTGCACGCAATGTTGATGGTGAACAGATCAAAACACTGACAGAATCCATGGATGGCAGGCTTTTGAGTGTCCTTGCAAAGAAAGGTGGCTATATTGGTCACTGATTTGTTTTTGTTTTGTTTTTGAATGTCAGAAATGTATATTTGTGAATGTTGAGATGTTATATTGGTTTCACTGGTAATAATAAATAATTGAAATGGGTATATATTTGTTTTTTGTTAAGTTGCCTAATAATTATGCACAGTAATAGTCACCTGCACACACAGATATCCCCCTAACATAGCTAAAACTAAAAACAAACTAAAAGCTACTTCCAAAAATATTCAGCTTTGATATTAATGAGTTTTTTGGGTTCATTGAGAACATGGTGGTTGTTCAATAATAAAATTAATCCTCAAAAATACAACTTGCCTAATAATTCTGCACTCCCTGTATGTGCGTTTATAGTGGATTGGAATCTTTTTAGTAATGTGTTCGGGATCTGTATAGACAGGGTTCTGAAGAGGTATAAGATGTGCGGTAAGGTCATCATCTTCACCATATTAATGCGTCCCAGCCATGATGTGCCTTTGTCTTCCCATTGTTTATGCTGGGTGTCTAATTTTTGCAGAAGTGGGATATGATTAACTTTGAGTATTGTATTAATTGAAGCGGGTAGTTGGATGCCGAGATATGAGATCGACGTCTTTCGCCAATCAAATGGGTATTTAGCTTTGAGGATTTGTAATGTGCGTTGGGGCAGGCGGAGTGCTAAGGCTTGTGACTTTTTCGCATTGTTTTTGTAGTAAGACACTCTACCGTATCTGTCAAGTAGTGTTATTAAGTGGGGCAGTGATTGAGAGGGGTTCGTGATAAACAGCAGAGTGTCGTCTGCAAATAGTGCAATTTTCATGGTTCCTATCAGGGTGACTAGTCCTGATTGTATCTGTCGTTTTTATATGTTTAACCCCTTAAGGACACATGACATGTCTGACATGTCATGATTCCCTTTTATTCCAGAAGTTTGGTCCTTAAGGGGTTAATCAGTGGTTCCATACATAGGATGAAGATCAATGGGGAAAGAGGGCAACCTTGTCTGGTGCCATTTGTGATTGCGAATGGCCTGTATAGGAAGCCTGTGTTATATACTTTGGCCGTTGGGTTCGAGTATAGGGCCATTATGCTATTTTGGAATGGAGGGGGGAACCCCATTTTGGATAGTACCTCTGACATATACGTCCAGTTGAGGCGACCGAACGCTTTTTCAGCGTCTAGCGCTAGTAGTATGCCCTGTTGTTGGGACGATTGTGCCCAATGTATTAGGTTTAAGAAGTGGCGGGTGTTGTCACCTGGTTGCCTAGACGGGACAAAGCCGGCCTGTTCCGGTGAGACCAAGTCTTATAGTAATGGCTTGATACGTGAAGCTAACAGCTTTGCATACAGTTTGGTGTCTGCATTCAGCAGTGATATTGGCCTCAGGTTTGCGCATTCTGTTGGGGGTTTCCCCGGCTTAGGTAGTGTTATTACATGTGCTAGGAGCATTTC